AAAAAAAAAAAAAAAAAGAAAATGGGTTGGGATATACCTTAGTGCAAAACCCCTGGGTTCAATCCCCAGTATTACAAAAACAAACAAACAAAAAGAGTGAGAGAGACAGACAGACAGACAGGGACAGAGAAAAGACAACTATACTGGGCATGGTGGCACATGCCTGTAAAACTAGATGTGCACCACCATATGAAATTGGTTTTTGTGTGTTCATTTAGACTTTACAAGTTTGCTTAATTCATTTACTACCACTAACAATTTTTTGTGTGGATTCTTTCTAGACAGAAAATTGTGTAGAGATAGCTGCCAGGGATGGTGGCTCACACTTATAATCCCAGGACCTGGGAGGATAAGAGGATCTCTACAATTTTGAGGCCAGGTGGCTAGATAGTGAGTTTAAAGCCTTTCTGAACTACATACCAAGACCCTGTCTTAAAAAAAAAAAATGAGGCCGGGGATTTAGCTCAGTGATTCTGCTGCCTGCCTCGCAAGCACAAGGATCCGAGTTCAATCCCTGGTACAAAAATAAATAAATAAACAGAGATAGTTTATTTCCTTCCTTTCCAATTTACATGGATTTTATTTTACTTGCAGAAGCTCTCTAGCTGAAATCCTTTTTTTTTTAAGTTTTGTAGTTTAGGCTGGCTTTGAACTCACTATATAGCCCAGGCTGGCCTTGTACTTGTGGTGATCCTCCTGCCTCAGCCTTCCTAGTGCTAGGATTACAGATGTATGCCACCATGACCAGGTAGAACTCCAATATTACACTGAATAGAAGTGGTAAAAAGTGGGGATCATTCTGGTCTTGTTACTTTTTTTTTAGACAGGGTCCTCCTGCCTCAACCTCCCAAATGCTGGGATTGCAGGCATGTACCACCACACCTGGCTAATCTTGTTCCTGACCTTACTTGGGGGAGAAGCCTTAAATCTTTCATCCTTGAGTAGGTTAGCTGTGGGTCATATACATATATATGGTCTTTATCATAGTAGGAAGTTCCCTGTTATTCCTAGGTTTTGCTGTTGTTGTTTGTTTTCTTTTGAGGAAGCCATCCAACTATGTAGTTCAGGCTGGCCTTGAACTCAATGTGTAGCCCAGGCTGGCCTTGAACTCCTGGAATTCTCCTGCCTCAGCCTCCTGAGTACTGGGATGACAGGCATGAACCACCATGCCTACCTAAGGGATGAGCTGGTAGCATACACTACCCCATGCCTTCATGGGCTTCCCTCTTACTTTCAAAATTACCTGATACTGTGGCCATATCTGATTTTGAACTTATACACACTGGGTCCTGCATGAAGAAACCGCGTCTCTGGAAATGGGTAGGTAAAGGGTTTTAAACTCATTGCTTCCAAATGGTAGCCTAAAGAAAGTAGAAATAGTAGAAAATTATTTAAAAGCTAAAGATGGCTCTTTATATATGGGAAAGGGAGCCCGCACAATCTATTTTGTTTTTTGGTTTTTGAGACAGGGTATCACTATATAGTTCAGGCTAGCTTTGAACTCACTATGTATGTAGCCCAGTCTGGCCTTGAACTCATGGTGATCCTCCTGCCTCAGCCTCCCGAGTGCTGGGATTACAGAATATACCACCAAGCCCCACTGTAGTATCTTTTCTCAAGTAAAATACCCAATGCTCAGCACCACTGCCCATGTACCAGGCTCAGCTCTGCTATTCATCACTTGGACCATTCTCCCTGCATGGAGCAGGATCATGGTGTGTTGGGACGACCTTTATGTTTGAAAGCAAACAACTAGAATTTAAGTTTTATTGTTTATTTTAAAATTTTTTCTGGTACTGGAAATTGAACCCAGGACCTTTACACTGGGGTGCATCCCCAGCCTTTATTTTTACTTTTTGTTCATTTATTTATTTATTTATTTATTGGTACCGGGGATCGAACTCAGGCCCTTGCACTTGCAAGGCAGGCGGCGAAACCACTGAGCTAAATCCCCGGCCCTGTTCATTTATTTTTTGAGATAGGGTCTCACTATGTAGCCCAGGCTGGCCTCTAACTCATGGCAATCCTCTGCCTCAACCTCCTAAACGCTGGAATTACAGGTGTGCACCACCACGTCCGGTTTATTTCTTTTATTGTGAGACATGGTCTCCCTAAATTGCTAAATGTCTAGGCTGGGCTCAAAATTGTGCTCCTCCTGCCTCAGCCTCCTGGAATGCTGGGATTACAGACATATGCCTCCACACCTAGCTTTCCAAATACTTTTAGAATCTATTCTCCTTCCTATAAGCTCAGACTGAGGCATGATTGAGACCACCAAGGCAGGCAAAGTCTAAGCAACATGCAATGAGTTTATTGCCATCTGGGTGCAGATGGGCCAAGGGCAAGAAGGCCGTCGGCCCTGAGAGGAAGGTGACCATGGTTATGTGGGGCATTTTAGGTGGGAGGGGGGCACTGGTCAAGAGGGTGGAAAACTAAATTTAGAGGCCCCTGGGTGATGAGGCTGCGCTGGCTGATAAGCAGGGCAGGGGTGAGAACAGCAGGGCCGCTGCTGGCTTCCTGTTATCTCTGCACTCCAGTGGATGGGGGTAGTGGGTCTGCTTGGGCAACATGGGGGGGGGCCTGTCACTTTCCCATTTTACTTTCCCTGAAACCCAGATGGATGTGAGGAGGGCTTGAATTAAATAATGAGACATTACAAAGAATATGAAAATAAGAGGCACAGTTAAAAGGATCTCTTCCATCATTATACCAGATGAAATGAAAGGAGCAGCACAGCTCCCAGATACAATCAATGCACCAAGTAAGGATGAACACTATTCTCAGAGGTGCCAAGGAATTCTTTATTTTCCCTACTTCTCAATTACTCTTCCGCTCCACCCACTGTGAGGCTTCCTTGAGCCCCAAGAGTGCCTGCTACACCCCTAGCACTTAGTACAGGTAGTCATATTTTTTATATTCCAGAATTTTAGGTCCTTTTCATGGGGCACTCAGTAGAGTGCTGGAGGAAGTGGTTGGCATGACTCTCCCTCTCTGAGACAGCATTTGACTTGTTAGAATCAAGCTCACTGTGATTTTTTAAGTCACTGGGGCTTTTTTGTCCTCTGCTTATTTGTAGAGGTAACGAGCCCTGTACTCTTTTTGTATCTCCAACAGCACCTCAAATAATAAAGAGGTCCAGAGTTCCCAAGGACCACTTATAACAACACACGATACTGATTTTAGAGGCAGCTAAGAGGTAGTAAATACAACCACAAAGTAAGAAGAATCTGGGTTTGAATCTCAGCTCAGGTGTCCCTACTTAATTTTTCTGAGACTTGATTTTCTTATGGAATAACAACAATTTTTTTGTCATGCCCTATTCTAAGTTTTGTATATATATATATTAGCTCACTTAATTTTCACTCCAAGCCTATAAGATAGTCTAAATTTGATGGATGAGAAACAGGTACTGAGAGTTGAAGTAACCTGGTCATAGCTATCAATTTGGATTTTGGATTCAGACTGAAGTAGTATAGATCCATTAACCCTGCTTCCATTGTAATTTCTGGGGTTGTAAGGAAGAAAAAAAAGAACAAGATAATAAACATAAATCAGGAGTGGTGGCACCTAACTGAGAAGCTGAGGCAGGGTAACTGCATTTTAAACCCAGGCTGGACAACCTAGTAACTTGGAAAGACTGTCTCAAAATAATAAAAAAGAGCTGGGGACTGAACAATGAAGGTCCTGGGTTCAATCCCTAGAATGACACATAAACACACACAAAAGAAAACAAACATAATTTTTTTTTTGTACTGGGGATGGAACTCAGGACCTTGAGCTTGCCAGGCAGGCACTATGCTGCTGAGCTAAATCCCCGGCCCTGTTTTTTGTTTTTTTGAAACAAGGTCTTGCTATCTGGTCCAGGCTGGCCTCAAATTCCTGGCAATCCTCCTGCCTCAGCCTCTTGAGTCCTGGGACTACAGGTGTGTGCCACCATGCCCAGCTAATAAACATAATTTTGTAAGTGGTAAAATATCACACACACATAAAGGACTATTTCGTTATTCTTTCCTCCACATTATCTTAACACCATTTCTACTCAGCAGGGAAAAGCTATACAATAGTCAGAAGATCCATGTGCCAAAAAAATGAAATTTCCCATAATTTCCAAAGTTCAGTTCTGGGGCTGCCAGTAAGAAGATTCCCCAATATCTGATCTCGGCTGCTTGGGATTAGAATGACAGGAGGTTGGAGCCAGAGTCTATGGGACTATTTAGACTAGAATTGCAGTCAAAAGTTAAAAAAAAAAAAGTTGGTGCCAACTGCAAAGTTATCAAAGAGGAAATACTGTTTATATCCTGAGAAAAATCTTCCTGATACCCCTTGTCTAAGACATGGTAGGAACCCACGCTAGATCTGTGAATGCTTTGGTGCCAGATGACTTATTCTAAGTGGGCAGGGAGCCCACCTGGTAAGACTTAGGTTGTTGACACAGCATCAGAGAAAGAGATGAAGGACATTTGCTGGAAGTGACAATCTAGAGAGGAGACTTCATGTGCTATGCCTCAGCTAGCCATCTGAAAAAAGGAAAAAACAACCCTTTTCTAGCTGGGGCCTGTTCATGTTAATTACTGGCTGTCTGCTTCAGAAATAAACACCACACACTAATTATTTCATTTGAAAATAAAGATTAGACAGTGTAATTCAAAACAATCACATAGTAATAGGGGCTTAAAGATTTCACACGGTTATTTTCCAACATTGACTACTGCAGTCATGGTGATGCTATGTCCCAGTAACTATTAGTAAGTTGATGGGAACCTGGACAAAAGGTCAGATTCTCAACCTATTTTTAGGTGACCACAAATCATGATGGTTTTATTTATTTTTTCGGTACCAGGAATTGAACTCAGGACCTTGCATCTGCCAGGCAGATGTGGTGCCACTGAGCTAAATTCCCGGCATCATGATGGTTTTAAAACGAAGAAAAATTACAGACAGTATGAGATTGTATAAAAGACAAAAGATTGGACACTGGATGACCAAGGCTCGAGTTCTACTTCTCTCTTATAGTAGTTATTAGGCCCCAAGCAAATCATTTAGCCTCTTTATTTTTTAGTTTCCACATCTACAATGGGAATTCCACCTATCTCTGTAATTGTGGGAAGCAAGTGAGATAATGCTGTAAGCAGACACTTGGTAAACTCCAGAGTATTATATAAACATCAGCTATTATGATAGATGTCCAGTTTCTCTCTCAAATCCAAGAGAGGAAAACTGATCAGCTTTAATCTTAATGCAAAATCTGCCAAATCCCAGCCAAGAATCTTTCTTTGAAAATTGTCAAGTAGCAAGGCCTGGTGGTTTATGTCTGTAATCCCAGCACTCGGGGGAGGCTGAGGCAGGAGGATCGCTGTGAGTTCGAGGCCAGCCTGAACTACACAATGAGACCCTGTCTCAAAAAAAAGGGGGGGAGGATTTAGCTCAGTTGTTCTGCTACCTGCCTTGCAAGTGCAAGGTCCCAAGTTTGATCCCCAGTGCCAAAAAAAAAAAAAAGTAAACTAGAAAGCATCTGAGTCAGTACAGAGACTCTCAGGCAGAACTAAATGCTATACAAAGATAATGGTATGATTATTGCAGTGGGAACACATGATGATAATAAGAAAATACAGTCACTATACCTACCTGGTAATATTTGGTGGATAAATTCTCCACAATATTGAATAAAAGAGCTTCCCAAGCATCTTTTCAAAATATACTTACTGGGAAAATATTACAAAAGCTTCTGAGACCATTAAGACCACTGAGACCACTAAGTATGGGCAATGAAATACAGAGCTCATCTACAGCCACCTTGAATGTGCCTGATCTTGTCCAAAATAGAGAATTTCCACTGATGCCATGAAGCCAACAGCCATGGTTTTTTGTTTTTTGGTTTTTTAAGATAAGGTTTCCCAAGTGCTAGGATTAGTCATATGCCACCATTCCTGTCTCAAACCCTATTTTCTTTTCTTTTGTTTTTCAAAAAGAATTATTCTGTTTTCTCACCTTGCAGGGTGATAGGATGATTAATGAAATAATACGGATGTAAATGCTTTTTTTTTTTTTGTACCAGGGATCGAACTCGGGACCTTGCGCTTTCAAGGCAGGTGCTGGAACCACTGAGCTAAATCCCCGGCCTATAAATGCTTATTGTAGTGCTGTTTATGGGTTACCCAATAAGAAATGTTCTTTTCTTTTTAACAAAATGTTACTATATAGGAGAGAAAGAGACTGATGACCTAAGGCTACTCAGGATATGTCCATGCTTTTGGATGCTATTCTGTTTCTTCATAGGTATCTTCTCATTCTTTCTGGTAAGAGATAACTGTTAAGCCAGGTGTGGTGACACAACCTGTAATTCCAGGAGGCTGAGGTAGAAGAATTGGTTTGAGTTGGAGGCCACCTGGGCTACACAGTGAGTTCAAGGCCAGGCTGAACTACACAGTGAGATCCTGTCTCAAAAATAAACAAATAAATAAATAAATAAAAAGGAAATAAACTTTAAATGCCATTGACATTATACAGGAATAGATTTGTCCTTGGAACTGTATCAGGTTGTGTTTTGTTTCATTTGAGGGAGGAGGGGTGAATAACTGAATGTAATCATTAGGAAGATCCCTTGAAATGAAATCCAAAGGTCCTGGTGGACAAATCAGAAAGGAACCTAAGTGAACCTCTTAAATTACTCTTTGCACCTAAGTATATCTTCCACTTCCACCTTAAATATCCTAAAAGATGAGGAAAAACTACCTTTGGTCAATAGGTCCCAATTATGCTTATTCTGGAAAAATAATGATACTTTATCTCACCACCCTATCCAGCAATTGTGGCTTGTTGCATGAAGATCAACCTGTCGATTAGCATTCTCATAACACTGCATTCACTGCAGCTCTCTTAAAATGTCACCAACTTCAAGGACCCAAAAAGCATTTGGATGAAAAGCTGAAGGCAATGAGGGACATTTTAGTTTTTGGTTTCACCACTGGGTGAGCTGCCCTGAAGCAGTACATGTCAGGAAGAAAACTTTAAATGACAATGAAAGAAAAAGCAGCAACATTCAGTAGTTTTAGGAGGGCAAAATGGTGGAAAAAATATCCTCAGCATGTTTTACAATGTCAAGCTGTAAGCTCTAAGTCTCTGATGTACTTATCTCAAGGGTCTTAGTGGCAGAAGATAAAAAAGTCTGAAAAGAAAGCTTCCAAAAGATACAGCTTTGTTCTTGGCATGAAACTGTGGCAGATTCTGAAGAAATTAAATTGTAAGAGAATCAAGTGACTTTTTATATAAACAGAGCAAATTTCACTCAGGAATTTTGAAATATTTTACTAACTTTAATCCAATTCTGTTGGGATATTGGGGAGATAAAAATTATTGGATTGATAAAGATACCTGCCATGAGATTACCTGATCTGGCCAAGGTCACAAAACAATTGCAAGACTAAAATTCAGATATTTTGCTAAAGCAAAGTAGGCCAGGTGAATGAAGGGTATCAAAAATGAGGCTACATTCAAGCTGGTGGGATCATGAAAGAAAAAAAAAAAAAAGAATGAGGCTACTGAGGAAAGATAGTCTATTTAATAAATGGTGTTGGAAAAACTGGATTTCAACCTGTCAAAGATTAAAACTAGACCCATATCTATCACCATGCACTAAATTAAAATC